ATGGCTCAGCAGTTAAGAACACTGGTTCTTGAAGAAGACCTGGGTTCGAATCCCAGCACCCACATGGCAGCTAACAACTGTATATAACTCCAGTTCCAGGGGATCGAATGCCCTCTTCTGACCTCTGTGAGCATTGCACAACACAGGCACACTTACATGCATGCAGACAATATACTCATACACATTAAAAAATTGAAAAATTTTAAAAACAATAATATTTTAACATACTGTACTGGAGTTACTTATATACCTTATTACATATTCTTTGCAGTCAAATTCTACAATTCTACATGGTATGATTATTCCCTCTCCCACACCCCAAACTCACTAATGATTCTGTGATCAAGATAAATATAAAATTTGTAAATTCACTCTTCTACATTTTAGAATGATCTAACTGCTAAAATAAATACTCCTAATGTTAAGCTCTAATAGTGTAACATCATACCTTTTGGATTTCCTTGGGTAGTGCATGCATGGGAATGTGACGATCCATAATTCCCCAAGAGAGCACTGGAGAAGAACAGTCTAGAAACAACAATGGCAAGAGTCAGAATTCACATGATGAGAAGGAAGTTCAAATTAAAATGAGTTATAAATTCTTCAGCGTATCTGGGAGGAATGGAAATAACTATTTGAACAGATGTTTGTTTCATCAACTCAATGTTGAAAGGTACAACTGAGGTCTCCTCAGTTAGTTACTGAGCTGCTCAAGCAGGAAGTTAGAGCAATTACTGAATTATACACCCATAGAAGGGTGTTTTCTGTTTTCCAGAACTTCATAAACTAATAGTAATTTCCATTGTGGCTTACTAATGATTTGTTTTTCAACAGAATAACTGTAAAATTTTAAATAGACTCATTTATTTCAGTATTCTAAAAAAAAAAAAAAAAATGGTTCTTTTTTTTCCTGAAAAGCTGTAGAAAGATTTAATACCTAAACACAGTATTTTAGTTCAGGAAAGAAAAGCAATTGTTACAGCAAGGTTTAAGTGACAAAGTACAGAAAACTTACCTACAGTTACTAGGCTAGCTGTGATATGCAGGTACAGAAGAGTCACCAGTGCATCAGGGACCAAGAACAAATTTATCACAGAACCAGTTTTATCAGAGCTGGAGACTGGTGCAATTCTATCTGGATTTTTATTTTAAAAAGATTTTCCTTTTTAACTATTTTTTGATTTATTCTTTTTATGTGTGCAAGTGTATTGCCTACATGTATGTAAGTGCACCCATGTCACGCAATGCCCGACGAGGTCAGAAGAGGGCTTTGGATCCCCTGGAACTGGAGTTATGGACGGTTGTTAGTTGTCACGTGGGTGCTAGGAATCAAATCCAGGTCCTGTGCAAGAGCAGCCAGGGCTCTTACCCACTGAGCCATCTCTCAAGCCCGATTTTCCTTTTTTAATAAAAATTATTCAATATAAAACTCTACTACTACTTTTACATAACAGATAACAGAGGAGTCTTTTCTTCTTCCAAATCCCTTCCAAATATCGGACAAAGAATACCTAGTCCAAGTTTATGAATATAAAGTTTTTTCTATCTACCTAAATAGTAGAGAAGGTCTGGAGAGAGAGCTCATTGGGTAAAGCACTTGTTATTGCAAATGTAAGGACCAGAGTTCAGATGCCAGCATCCATATAAATACTGGACTGGTATAGAGGCCCACCAGTAATCCCAGCCTGGGGAGGCAGAGACCAGGGAGCCTCAGAGAAACTGGGTAGCCAGACTAGTTAAACTGGCAACCTCTGGGTTTAAGTGAGAGGGTTGAAGGTAGAGAATGATCAAAGACATCTGAACACACATACATGCCCATACATATACACACACACACACACACACACACACACACACAACATACACACACGTGTACACACACACGAATAGAGAATGATAGGGCCAGGATGGTAAAGTGGGGAGGTACAGCAGATTCAGGTGACAGACACAAATTTTACAGCAGGGAAGTAAGCCTAATTCTGATAAACAAAGGTAAAGGATAACGATCTACCTTTCAAATTGGGGTGGGAAGTTAGTGAGGGCTTCCTAAGGTTGTTTTCCTTTGGTCAGGGCAAGGACAGAGGCGATAAAAATAATAGAGGTATTGTTTTTGTAAACTGTTCAAGTACTGGTGGAAGAAAGAGTCCTCATCCCTGTGTTAGCCCAAACATTCCTCATTTCACTGAGTTGCTATTTAAAACAAGTATCTAATGAGCTGTCTTCCCACATAAAACGTTAAGACAATGTGTGTGTTTGGTAGTGTTAACTGAGGTCAACCATGGGAGTAAAGTTTATGTCGACATGGGCCCAAGTGACCAAGAACATAATCTGATGTTTGGCTTAGTGTCACAGTCATGTGGCAAGAAACCAGGAGGCTCACTGACCTCAATTATGCCATTTTGCACCATCAGTAAACTGAAATAACATCTTCAGCTCCACAAGGAGTGCTTGTCCCTAAAATTACCAACAAATCTCCTTTTAAAGTATCATCCATGGCAGTGTGAGAGAACATAGAGAACATGATTCTGAATGATGGCATGATGGCATTAAACGCAAGGTGTCAGTGGGACAGCTTTTCATTAGTACCTTCACTGTGACTCTACTCCAACTTAGGCCTGCCTGACTGTAGTGACCTATATTGGCAGGTTTTATGAAGGAACAATTTAAAATACCCTGCTAAGGAGAAAACGCTCCAAAATACGGGGGGGGGGGGGGGGACGACTAAGCATTAAAATGCATATCACAGCAGATCTTACAACGAGATTAAAAAATCCACTTTTTAATACATCCAATATATGTTCATTACATGTTTATCTCAAGAATATTAGCAACTTGTCATATAGAGGTCTTTAACATCATTTGCTATATATTCTTTTACTGATTATCTTAAATTGGGGTAGTAGTGTGTGGTAGCTAATTGTTTTCCGGTAGACAAGAAAATAGGTACACTACCTTCCATAATGTTTGTTTTTTTTTTTTGTTTTTTGTTTTTAAAAGATTTTATTATTTTTACTTTACATGTGTGTGTTGCCTGCATGTGTGTAAGGGCACCCGTATCCTGCAAAGCCCCTGGAGGTCAGAAAAGGGTGGTTGCTTCTCCTGCAACTGGACTTACAGATGGTTGTTAGATGCCATGTGGGTGCTGGGAACCGCACCCAGGTCCTCTTAAAGAGCAACCAGTGCTCTTAACTGCTAAACCATCTCTCCAGCCCCAATGTTTGCTTTTCTCACTGTCTATATTTTAAGGAAATGGCTTCCAAACCTTTAAGAAAAGCCCATCTGCATCTCTATAAAGATTTGCGTACCTATGAGAGGAACAGAGGAAGAATTCACAAATACTTAAGTTTTTCAAGAAAGAGAGGGTTCTCTTTCCCTTTTGGCAACAGGGAAAACTTGTCATTTTATATTTACCCATCTTTTACTTTGCCTGTTTTTGGTCTTTCCCATTACAGTCACGTAGACTGTCCTTGGCAAAGGTGCGGTGGGTGACACGTGGCTGCAGCTACGTGGGTGTTTGTGAACCTTCTCTGCGACACGGGTCACGAGAAAGACGTGTTATTTTAATTGCAGAAACGTCCTGATGGATCATTTCCGATTCTTACAGCCGGGTCACGCCGGGTCAGGAACGCCCGTTCGGCTTTCGGGCTCTTCTGCACAGTGCCATTCCCTAGGCGTGAATCAGCCCGGTGCAGGCCTCGGGCGGGGACTGCGGGAGCATTTTCCTAAGGGAAGCGCTCGGCAGATCGCGGCCAGCCCCGCCCCGGCTTTTGCCGGTCCAGGCCGGTCCCAGGCGCATCCCCTCAGCCTCCCCGCCCTCGCCTCCGCCGGAACTGCGGCCCCCGACCAGAGGAAAGCAGCCTTCCCTCACCTAAGCCCTCGGCTCCTTGGGGTGAGAAACGGCTTCCCCAGTCTCCCGGGCGACCGCTGCACGTCGGTCTGACGTCAGGGCGCAGTGATGTCACGGCCCACGCCTCTCGCCGACGCGGAAGCGGAGCCTCCTTTGCATCACCTGGGGACCCGGGTGCAAGCCTAGCGGAAGCGGGGTGCCGGTGGCGGGGATCGGAGGAAAGGGCGGCATTGCGCACGAGGCTGTGACGAGGAGGAAAGGGGAGCGACAGGGACGGCGGCCTGGCGTCCAGGCTGCTGAGGAGGTGGGGGGAACTGTGCGGGAGTGGGAGAAGCCGTGCCGAGTGGGGGCCCGGACCTCTCAGACCCGTGTGGTGGTCACAGCAGGCAATCATTGTTCTGGAGCAGAGGAAAGATGCTGTAGCGGTCATGGATGTATGGGGAAGCATTGTTCTGGGTCATTCGGCGAGGGCAGATTAATTGGGAAAAGACCTAGGAGAATTTCATTCTGCTCCAAAGATGAAGGGCTTACTTAGTTCAGAAAGTGTTTGGAGATGTGCTGCTCCCCAACACTTTAGTGATGGAAGACCTTGGTTCTTTACACATTGATTCCCCATCATACATTAGTTCATAAAACAAATATTGATGACCTACTGCGTGGCAAGCAACCAGGATAAGATAATCCTCAGGGACTAACCCAGGGCTTTGATTAGTGACTTGTTCAGAGTCCAGATGTTTCCTTTTTCAGGATCATATGTGGTCCAGAGTGCTGTTCCTGTAAGAACTAAACACCATGACAGATGACATGGGATGACACCATGAACTACTAAACACCTAATCATAAAAGTATAGTCAATACAAAAACCAGCAACAGCTGTTTATCAAGGAACTGGCATTATGTACTGTATATGATTGCATATATTATAGGACTAGGAACAGACTTACACCAGCATCACCGCGTACAGGTAACCAGGACTTTGACATCATTGGGTGATAGGAATTTTCATTCCTTTATAACATTCTGGGACCACTGAAGGGCCCATCATTGACCAAAACCTTCTATAGTATTAATAACGATGGTATTTACAGAGCACTAGTATACATGAAAGGCAACTTGCTGGCTCAGCAGTTAAGAACACTTGCAACTCTTGCAGGGAACTCAAGTTTGGTTCCCAGCACTCATGGCAGCTAACAACCCATCTGTAACTCCAGTTCCAGAGGATCTGACGCCCTCTTCTGACCTCCATAGGCACAAGGCACACATGGGGTACACATACATACATGAAGGCAAAACACTTGTACACACAAAAAGAAGGCACTAGGCATGGTGGAGCACATCTTTAATTCCAGTACTCAGGAGGCAGAGACAGGCAGGTCTCTGAATTTGAGCCAGCCTGGTCTGTGTAGCCAGTTCCTTGACCAGTCAGGGCTACATAGTAAGACCCTATCTTTAAAAACAAAAGAAAAAAGAAAGACAACCCTTTGAAAATGGGATGGTATTCAGCTTAAAGGCTGTGATTCACTCTTGTATCTATCTACACATCACCTCGAGTTCAATTTCCTTGACACTGTAATGTTTCTCACACCTTCTGTCCAATATGGTAGCCTCATGCGATTATTTTAGATGAACCTTAGAAATCCCATTGCTGTATGAATAGCCACATTTCAAATGCTCATTTGTCACATGTAGCTACTGTGTAAAAGCACACATACAGAACGTTGTCGTCGTTGTAGAGAATTCAACTGGATGTTGATAAACCCAGAAAATTTCAAAGGAAAAGAGTTGATAAGGTATTTCAAGGATAGCAATAAAAATTGTACCTTTTGATGAAGATAGTGCAGGTTGAAATATGACTGATGAGCACTTAAAAATAAGTTGTTAAAAAGATAAATAAGATAGCCCCAAAGACTGTCCTGTGTTGGCACTCTTTTCATGATTCTCTATTGATTCATTTCTCCCCATCTCTTTTCAGGATTTATTCTAAACCTGCCCTTCTTCATCCCTGTACTGCCCACTCTACAACTGAAATACAATGGAAAATATTCTCATTGTTGGCTGTATTGAATATAATTTTGTGTTAAGGTGTTCTGTTGTTCTTTGGTGACTTTTTGTTGTTGAGAGAGAGAGAGTTTCTTGCACTGGGATTGAATCCAGGGCCCCACATGTGCTGGGCAAGTACTTTACCACTGAGCTATACCAGTAATCCATATTCTTTTTAGCCAGTGGTTTCACTTTTTACTGTGACTTTTAAAGATAATCCACTATTTTAACATTTTAAATTCCTTTTAACTTCTTTTGTGATTCTTTATTGTTATTTCCTTTGCAGGTCATTGACCCCTGTAAGGAAAAAAAAAAATGCCCTCTTAATTTATAGAGTGTCTATCAATGGACTAAATTCGACTTTCTACATGACCTGCAGACCTTTGCAGTGGCTTATAAGAACTCATTACTGGGTGTTTGCTACTGTTAGGAATTTCCCTAAAATATTCCATGGGACACTCTCATTCACCCCATTCATTTTGGTAAATTGTTCCATGTGACCTCCTCTCCTTATCCCCTCTACCCATGAAAAGCAATATGGGAAAATAGTTACTTTGTTGACAAGTCTGCTAAAAATAACAGGAAGTCTCTGCAAGATGGCTAATTATAAAGTAAATGTGGGACTGCACAAAGATAGCATGATAAAATTACAGTTAGATCCAATATTATTTTCATCCTGCAAACCACAGTACAATACAACTCTGTCCCCTTGTAAGTTTGAGGAAAATGGTTGCAATCAGGCCTCCCAGGCTGGAGACAACTGTAGCTTTCACTGCTCTTTCTGGGCCTCATCCAATGCAAGTAAAGAATTTCTAAAAAGCTAACATTTATGGGGTTCTTTCTATTTGCCAGGCGCTCCATACACAATGACTTATTTAATTGAGAACCTTCCAAACATAACTCAGTCAGATCCTACTTATTGTTTACTTTCACCCAAATGATGGAAGTGGCCAAGGGCACAGCCCATCATGTGAGTACCGAGGTGTACCAGATCCAGCCTGAGTGTAATGGAAGCACGTGGGCCTCACATGTCGAGTTAGTTGACTCTGCCAGCCCATCCCCGCAGGGCATTAGCCTACTGTAGATTAGAAACATATGTATAAATCCAAAGTCTTCAGTTCTGTAAAGTTAATTTTGCCTTAGACTTACTTTTTTTTCATAAAATTTCCCATGCAGCTTCCAATTTTCAAAAACCGCAGGGCATTAGCCTACTGTAGATTAGAAACATATGTATAAATCCAAAGTCTTCAGTTCTGTAAAGTTAATTTTGCCTTAGACTTACTTTTTTTCATAAAATTTCCCATGCAGCTTCCAATTTTCAAAAAAGTTCAGCTGCAAAAGGCCACTTGCTTTGTTTTACACACCCCAACACATGTACTTCTGCACCAAGATTGGATTTTCTACCCTCCTGACTTCCTATCATGCTATTAACATTTAAACTTTTAGACTGCCTTATAAGGCTGCTTTGCATATTGAACCCCAAATAGCTGTGGTCTAGAAATGAGTTAAACCACAAGATACTGTGTACAGGTTTGTGCTCTGTATCTTTTTAAATCCATCCTATTTACAGTATAAACCTGAGTCCTTAATAAAATAAAGGTCACAGTGTTTAAATGACACCTCTCGAGGACTTCCAATACTTTGTCATCTGTGTAGGAATAATTGTGCACCAAATTCAAATTCATGTTATCCCTAGAATATAATTACTGAACAAATTCTAATGAGATGTTAGACCCTTAAATGATAAATATCTACTTTAAAATATTAAAAGTAAAGAAAGCATGCACTATAACAAAACTTTTGATGATTGTAAGTGTATTTTCTGTGGCCTGCTCACCACTAGTAACAGCTTTATCCAAAAGCATATTGTGTCAAATGTAATTGAATATTTGTTATGTTAATTTTTATTTTTTCAGTTTTTAAATTTTTTAAATTTATTTTTATTTTTAAATTTTTTTGTTTTTTGAGACAGAGTCTCCCTCTAGCCCTAGCTGACCTGGGATTCACTTTGTAGACCAGGCTTGCCTCCATGTCACATAGATCCACCTGCCTTTGCCTCCTGAGTGCCGGGATTAAAGGTGTGTACCACCATACTCTGCTAACAATGTTCTTCAAAACACAAATGTCATAAAGCTCTAATGACAGTAACTTAACACCCATAATGAATGTGATACTCAGATACAACACACTGATAACTTTTAAGAAATTAATCTTTTGATTACCCAAATTCTTTTTATTAAATTCTTAAGATCAAAATCTGGACCACAATAAACAATAAATATTAGGAAATTCCCAAACAACTCAAAATCAAGGGCTGGAGAGATGCCTCAGTGGTTAAGAGTTCATACTGCGTTTGCCAAGGACCCTAGTTTGGTTCCCAGCACCCACTTAGGCCAGTTAACAACTACCTATAGCTCCAACTCCAGGGAATCTGACACCCTCTTCTGAACTCTGAGGGCACTTATACTCACACATAAATACATACACATACACACACACACACACACACACACATTTAAAAAATTAGTAAATATTTTTTAAAACCCTAAAAATTAGTAACTGCCTTATACATTTAAAAAATAACTTTTGGGGTCATTAGTGGTGGCACAAGACTGCAATTCCAGCACTTGGGTGGGTGTGGCAAGAGGATCTCGAGTAGCAGGCCAGTCTGGAATATAGCCGCAGCCCACTTTCTATTAATGGAGACACTGAGCTACATGTATATGAAGACACATCATATGAAAAGAAAAGAAAATCACCTTGATCTTAGGTAGCTACTAAATTTATAGGAAACAAAGCAAAGCCATTTTCCTCCATCTTATTATGTCTGTCTCTATTAACAAAGTTTTAATGCCATTAAGTACATTGTGGGTTGAGAATGTACCTCAGTTGGTAGAGTGCTTGCTTAGCATGTCTGAGGCCATGAGTTCCATTGCCAATGCCACACAATCCAGTGGAGTGGTACACAGCTATAATCCCAGTACTTGGGCAGTAGATATAATAGGATCAGAAGTTCAAAGTCATCCTCAGTTATATGCTGAATTCAAAGTCAACCTGGAGTACATGACACCCTATCTCAAAAGAAAACCTAGTTGTGTATCATCATAAGGAGATCCTTGGCGCTGGAGAGATGGCTCAGTGGTTAAGAGCACTGGCTGCTCTTGTAGAGGACCTGGGTTCAATTCCCAGCATCTACATGGTGGCTAATAACCACATAGTGGTAACTCTAGTTCCAGAGGATCTGGCATCCTCTTCTGACCTCTGTGGGCACTGCATGACATAAGTGTATTTACATGCACATGGGCAATACATTCATACACATAAAATAAAAGATAGTAAATAAAATATTTTTTA